AAAGAAATTGAGGGAATACTTATGAGCAAAGAATAAATAAAGTGAACACTTTTTATTGATGATAGGATGATTAAAGAATCCTACTAAAATTAATTAAACAATTAGTAAATTCAGTACAGTAGAATATAAAATAAAACCACAAGAAACATCAACTTTTCTGTATATTACCAACAAGACCCATCAGAGTATGAAAGTCTGACTCTGAAATATCAGCTTTTATGCATATTGCCAACCACACCCACCAGGAAGTGATAGAGGGAAAAAAATAACACACAGAGTAACTATAAAATGCATAAATATTTGGAAGTCCACCAACAGTGGCACACATTTTTATATAACTATAAATCCAAAACACTCTTTACAGAAATAAAGTAAAACTTCATTAAAAGTATTAATTGCTCATGTTTGGGCTGTGCAGTATAAAAATGATACTACCTAGATTAATTAATAGATTAATGCCATACCAAACTACCAAAGAATTGTTATAGAACTAGACAAAATACCATTCAAATTTACCTGATGGATCAAGAATCCCAAAGGAAATAGTAAAAAAAAAAGTATGGCCAGGAATGGTGGTGCAATGCCTGTAGACCCTACTACTGGGAAGGATGATTCTGGTGGATCATTTGAACTGCAGTAAGGCTAGTTGTGTCTGTTCTAAGTCAGGCACCAATACAGTGAACCCCCAGGGAGCAGATTTGTGGGATACCAGGCTGCCTGAAGAAGGGCAAACTGGCCCAGGTCAGAGAAAAAGGGAGAGGGAGAGGAAGGAGGGAAGGGAGTTGAGGAGGGGAGCTTAGACTCTGATTACTAGTTCTTTTGCTTTTTTTCCCCTCCTTCTTTCATAAACGAGATCCAACTTCAAAGTTGGGAGTTTATTTTGCTTGTAACTGTTTTCTCCCTAATTGTTTTAACCCCAACCACTCTGTTGAATTTTTCTTCAGATGTTTATGAAAATCATTTCCATGAGAAATGACCTCATCTGGGGAAGTGGGGGCATTTTTAGAGATCATATCAATCACTGAACATTTATATAGTGCTTACTGTTGAGGTTTAGAGGTTTAGAGGTGCTGGGATCCCAAAATCATGACACATGGGTCCTGCTGGAATGAATTTGGCCCAAGCATTCTGTCAGCCAAAGACAAGGTTTATTAAAGATCTGCCACATTGGCCAGACTCTTAAGGAATCAGAACATTTGTGAGCTATTGGCTAGATTATAAGAATCTGAGCCCTTGGCTAGCTAGGTTCTTAAGGAATCTGAGCCCTGTAATGGTAACAAGATGGATCCTTATATATAGAAAGACTGTGGGAGGGCTCTAGGGAGGATCTTGATGGGAGTGGCTAGTAGGCTGGGGTGAACGCCTGGGACTTGGACCGTGGCTAAGAGATAAACTAAAGCACGTAGCACAATGTCTGGTACATAGTAAGTGATGTGTACGGGCCCTAGCCGAGACCTTTGCTCCTCACCCCAAAAAGAATTTCGGTCCCATTTGTCTACAGGATTCTCCAAGAATTCTCCCACAGGATCAAGGAAGTCTCTGACATTTACCTGAGGCTATAATCCTATCAACTGGCCTTTCCTTATCTCCTTAGCCCAATCTCCCAATTCTCAATTGCCCTTAAGCTAGCCTAGCCCTCCATTATTTTACCTCCCTAAAGCCCTGAACCACTTCCCACCCTTAATCCAATCATTTGTGAATCTATCTGGTCCTGGGAATTTTTTCTTAGGGAGTTCATTGATAGCTTGTTCAATTTCTTTTTGTAAGATGAATTTAAAGTATTCTCTAAAATGGAGTTTAAGTATACTATTTCCTCTTGTGTTAATCTGGGCAATTTATATTTTTGTAAACATTCAACTCTTTCACTTAGATTATCAGATATATTGGCATGCAGTTGGGCAAAATAGCTTCTGCTTACTGCTTTAATTTCCTCTTTATTGGTGATGATTTCACCCTTTTCATTTTTGATACTGGTAACATGGTTTTCTTTTTTTAAAGTATTATTTTAATTTATGGAATAAAACAAACATTTCCATAACATAGTACAGTAAAGATGATTGCAGTGAAACTGTAAATCTGCTATGTACAGCTTGCTGTTCCTTTCACATATACAACAAAATTATGTAAATTTTTTTTCTTCCCTCTACCCTGAGATGGATAGGGTAGGGTGCTCACGTACGTGTGTGTGCATGCGTGTGTGTGTGTGTGTGTGTATGTATGTATACACTGTGCTTTACACCGTGTTCCCCTTTTACCTGAGACAGACCTTTGCAGTCCTTTTCAATTGTCTTGGGCTGGAAAAATGTTTCACCCCATCTTTTTATAGGTTCTGCTGCTTCAGAATTCATTTTGAGGCTTTTGAACTCAGGTCCTCCTGACTCCAGGGCCAGTGCTCTATCCACTGTGCCACCTAGTTGCCCCTTGAGGCATTTTAAAAAAATTGTTTGGAGGGGATTTTTGGAGCGCTCAGGCAAGTTCCTGCCTTTTCTCCACCATCTTGGCTTTGCCACCCCAATTGTCTAATTGCCAAATCTGATGGTCTTTTTTTCAGTCATTAAATTAAGATTGACCACTCTTCCCCAGGATGCTTTCTTCTCTCCTAGCAAGTGTCTGAGGCTGGATTTGAACTCAGGTATTCCTGACTCTAGCTTCTGCACTCTATTTACTGCACAATGAGCTGCCTCCTCATAGAGGTGATGGATTCAGAAAGAAACATATTTTTTGGACTTAGTAAATGTGGGAATTTGGCTTTTTGACTTTGCACATTTGTTACAAGGTTTTTGTTTTGTTTTTCAGTGGTTGGGGTTGGGGTGGGAGGAAAAGAAAATTGATTTAGTTGAAAAAATTAAAGATGTAAACTACTTGTAAATGTGGATAGTGTTATTGTATTTTTATATCCATTCAGTGACACATAATAGGCATTTAATAAATGCTTTTTGGTTTATTAATAATGAGATCAAGAATGTGTTATTCTATGTGACTGAAGTGAAGTGAAGATGAAAATCAAGGGAGTTGATGCACTGAGAAGCTAAGATGTTTGAGGAAACACTTTTAATTTAAGTCCCCTAATAAAAGAGCATGGATTAGAATGAAGAAGACTATGAGACAGGTACAGATTTCCTTAAGAAAGGAAGAATAATAACTGGGGTGTTAGGAAATAATTGTTCCCCAGGTCTAAATAGAAGGATAAATCTGCCAGCTTCCCTCTTTCTATTGATGGTATTACCACCTTCCCAGTGACTTAGATTTGAAATCTTTGACTCACTTTTCTTTCTTTCCAAACACCAAATTTGCCACATACTTGGACTGCTTGTCTGTTTCATCTTCTCTTTATTCCTATAGCTTCCACCCTTATTCATGTCCTCATCATCTTTCTCCTGGGCAATTTGTAATAGCCTTTTACTTGCTTTCTTTATCTAGCTCATCTTGTCTAAATCATTCCCAGTACCCTTTTCCTCAAAAACTTTGACTGGTTTCCTGTTTCCTGTAGGATGAAAAACAAACCCCTTACCTGGTCCTTTAGAGTCTAGCTCCAAACTGCTTTTCTGATCTTATTTAACATTGCTTCCCTTTACCCATTCTACATTCCAGTCAATTAACTATTCCCTAAATGAAACATACTTTCTTTCACTTCTGTACATTTATACAGAGCCCCGCCCCTTCCCCATATCTGAAAAGTACTCCCTCCTCATTTCTGTCTTTTAGAATTGCCTTTTTTCAAGCCTCAGTTCAGGTGACACATCTTTGAATCCTTCCCTAATGCCCCAAGCTAAAAGTATTCTCTGCTATGTGAAATTTTCCTAAAATGCTTTTGAATTTCTCTTTTGCATCCATCAATCTTCCTACCTTGTGTAACACTTACTGTGTTATGTGTTATATCTCCCGACACTCCCTTGTAAGTTCCTTGAGGGGCTGTCATTTTGACTTTGTATCTTCAGTGCCTAATATAGTTATAATCCTTTTCATATAGTAGGTGCTTTAGTAAATGTTTGTTGAATTGAATTTGTTTGAGTAATCATAGAATTTAGGATCAGAATGAAACTTAGCCATTTTTCTGGTTCAATCTCTTCATGTTATAGATGCATAAATTGAGAGAAATTCATGGATTTGAGTTCAGGTAACGAAGAGAATGATGATTCCATCAACACAGCTAAATTAAAGACAAGTGGGAGACCTGCTCAATATGCACAATGGAAAATTTCAGTAGGCAGATGCAACTGGGAGGTATCAGGGATGGAGATAAAGATGAAAAACTAGCTTTATAGAAGTGATATTTGAGAATGGAGGAGATTCCTGAGAGAAAGTAAAAAGAAAAGCTAGAAGAAAGCCAAAGACTAAGGCTTGGAGAAAGTTTAAAATTATTATACAGTTTACATTAATCACAGTCTCAGAGTTGAAAGGGACATTGGAAATTGTTTAGTCCAACCCATTTCTAAATGGCAGTCCCTTCTACAATATCCCCAACAAATAATCATTTAGTTTCCTCAGCAAGACTTCACTATCTCATGAAGTAGGCCATTTTACTTTTGGACAGATCTTATTGTTAGTATGTGGGAGGAGGAAGAGAATCCTGTGTGATTAAGAGAGGAGTAGTTATTGGTATAAGAACCAACATTAGTATAGTATCACAGAGGCCAAGGAAAGAAAGTTTCAAAATAGAAGGGGTGCTTGTTTGCGAGACTGGTTTAGAATAAGAACAAATAGCTGACAGAGAAACTAATGCAATGAATGGGAAACCTGGAAATTTTGTGGGTTGTATCTTTAAATAAAATGCCTCGGCTGTGATTAGTTTTTATCCAGGGAAAGAAAAATATAGCTTTGATTCATGGAAGCTTTAATAGCCTTAAAAACATTGTACTGATGTTACTGAAGATAGTAAGGAACTCTTCCAACAGTCACTGAATTATGAAGGCTGTCAACACTTTGCTTTGAAAAAAGTCTCATTTTAAAATGTGAAATTTTATTGATTTTATTGTTCTCTGTTCTTCTCCCTGAGGCAGATCTTTTACTTGGCACTTGTTCTGTGTTGAAGCTTTTGGATAATGGAAACATTCCCCTGGCAATGTCTCTGGGGCGACTCCTTCGACGAGCCTCCTCAAAAGCCTCTGACCTCCTGACCCTCAACCCCAGTTGCAGCAGTGGCCCTCCTTCTGTACTGGATGGGGAGATCATCTATTCAAAGAACAATGTCTGTGTCCATCCCCTGCACGTTCTGCAGGGCCTTGGGGAACATCACCCAGGTAAGGTGGTAGAAGAGAGAAGTTGTACGTGAGGGGGCAAGTCTTGGATTAGAGACAATGTTTTATGATAAGAAGAAAAGAGAAATTGGTTACAAGTCAAGAGGCATGAGTTCTAGTTCTTCCTCTTCTACTAGCTTACTGTGTGACCTCAGAGAAGTCATGTCTCTTCTCAGTTCCTCAGTTTTTTCATCTGTAAAATGAAGAAGCTGAAAGAATCATCTAGTTCTCTAGGACCTGGTATAGTTCAGTTGAAAGTATGCTGAATTTGGAGTGAGTGGGCCTGGGTTCTAATCTTGGCTGTGTTATTTATTGCCTTTATGACTGAGCAAGTCATTAAACCTCTCTGGACCTGGTTTTCCAATCTGTAAAACAAGAGGGATATGCTTTCCAAATCAAAATCTATATTCTTCTGACTTTTTTAGCTCTATAATTATATACTCTCTAACCTATTCATTTCCTCTCCTGAGATTCATTGAATCCAAGAACAGTAAGGTACTCCCAAGATCATTAACCCTATTCCACCACTTACAGGTGTGACTTCATTCAAGTCTTGCTGAGTAGGTGGCTCTAATCTCTTAAAAATTATGAAGGAAGAGGATTCTACAACCTTTTCTGTCTTAAATCTAAAGTTCTTTCTGCTTTTTAGAGAGGCAGAATAAAAGAGTATAACGAGCAATGGACTTGGAGACAGGAAAGTCCCAAGTTCAAGTTGGTCCCTCTACCTCCCCCTTTTTCCCTCTCCTCCCCAAGATCAAGTGTTTGACCCCCAGAATAACACTCATCCGCTTGAGCCTCAGTTTCATCGTCTGTAAAATGAGAATAATCCTTGTAATAACTGTCTCACAGGGTGATTTTTGAATATCAGATCAAATGATGCATGTTAAGTGCTTTGCAAATCTGAATGTACTATACAAATCTAACTATAATTCCCCTTGTTTTATTTTCTTACTTAACTTCCTCATCTACAAAATGGAGCCAGTAATCTCTTTAAAGTGGAATTGATGAAATAGAGAATTAGAAGTTTGAAGGATACTTTGGGAAGAGTTTCCTTGGAGAGGAAGGTGCTAGAAAAATAGACTGTTTGTTTATATTTACTTTCTATATATGTAAATGTGTACATACTCTTTTTCTTGATAGTTGGTAAGCTTCTTGAGGATCAGGTCTATTTCATTTTTGTCTTTGTATTCCCAGCACCTAGCCCTCTGCTTAGTAGCACATGGGTAACACTGACATAATAAACAAACAAACAAATAAATAAAGCTTACTGATTGAGTGTTTAAGTATTTCATAACATAACATACTAAGCAATTAATATTAGTATCCAAAAGAAGTGGTTTTACTGTTATCAACAATGAAAATAAGTTGTTTTGCATGCTTCAGATCATTAATAGGAAGAAAAATGGAAATGACTGAAAATTTGTAAACATAGAACAACAGTAACAAGAAAAACCCCAGGAGAAGTGTGTGTGTGCATGTGTACATACAGACTTTGAGAAGATAGATAGGCACTGTTAGTAGAGCTGTGAATTGGTCCAATCATTCTGAATATGATTTTGGAATTATGTAAGAAATGTGGCAGTATTCTGCATACCCTTTGACCCAGTGATCTCTTGCCTCTCCAGGTCAAGAAGGTCAAGGTCCTGTATATATACAGAAATATTAAAGTAGCACGCCTTGTGGTAGCAAAAAACAGAAAACAAAATGATGTCCTGTAAATTGGGTAATAGCTGAAAAAATTATGACAAATGAATGTACTGTCCTATTACCACTTTAAAAAGTTTTTTTTTGTTCTGAACTTAAAACACCAAAAACAATCCATTTCCACACACAAAGCAGAACACAAAAAGATTCTATGTGAAGCTTCTGAAAAGTATGTAGTAAATTCTGCACATAACTTTCAAAACGATCTTGCTTAAAATGCTTCAGAAACTCTATTTTTTTCATCACTATTGCTAACACCCCTGTCGCTCTTGAACAAATTAACTTAGTTAAGCTAAGTGAATCTACACAATGACCATGTCCAGAAATATAGGTCTCTGCACCTTTTGTCCATCATCCATCCTTCTGTCAGGAGGTAGATAATATGCTTCATCATCAGTCCTCTGGTTGGATTTTTCTTTGATCAGAGTTCTTTAGTCTTTAAAGGTTGTATATCATTACGTGCTGTGGTCCTGTTATAAATTATTCTTGTTCTGCTTACTTCACTCTGAATCAGTGCATACTACTTAGGATTCTTAGAAGTTGTGTTTCATCAGTGAAGTAATATTCCATGCAGTCATAAACCACAGTTTATTCATCCATTCCCCAATTTTCTAAGAGGCAATCTAAGGTACCGCTTAAGATTCTAGTTCACTCACCTACCCAACCCCCTTTTAATTCTTCTCTTTTCAGGATCAGAAATTTATTTTTTATCTTTTGACTGTTTTCCTAACCACCCACTCCCTATCTCTGCTTATTTCTATGTTGTGTTTGTTGTGCTTTTTACATCAAAGTGTGTGTGTGTGTGTGTGTATGTGTAGTCAGCCTTGCTTTGTCCATTTCATATTACAGCTAGTTTCATCTTATGCCCAATTTCCTCCAACCCCAGTCACTTCTTGTATTTTCTCATGCCTTTTAATTATAAGAAATGCCAAGCTCTACCCCCTACTTCTTCCCTTCTACACTAACACATTTCTTCGTTTAACCTCCCTCAATACCCTTTGAAGACATTAAGGTTCTGAAGGACCCTTGTTTCTTTTTCCACTGGTAGGATAGTAGCACTGTGTCATTGCCCCTTCTAGTTGCTCAAATTGACCTCTCTAGATTTCTTTGCACTCTTGTTTTTGCATTTCGAAGTTTATAATCGTTCTTTATATCATAAGTACTTGAAAATTCCCTCTTCCTTTAAAAGTTGTTCTCCTCCTCCCCCCATACCTTTATAGGGTGATTTATTCTTAATAGGATATAGCATTTAGATGACTTTATATGTATTATCTCACTTGATTCTCACAGCAAGGTAGGTGTTATTACTATTTTGCAGATGAGGAAACTGAGGCTGAGATGTTAGTGACCTAAGCAGGGTCACAAAACTAGTAAGCTGAAGTAGGATTTGTCCAGAATCACACAGCTTGTAAATGTCTAAGGTTGAAACTTAGTTCTTCTTGACTCCAGCTCCAGTGCTTCTCAAGCTACGTGTGTCCCATCCCTAGTTGCACACTGGAACGCGATTAACTTAAGGACTCCTCTTTCTTTTTACCAGTGGGCTTCTCCTTAACTTTTTGTGGAGTGGAAGATATCATTATAGTTTCTTATTAAATTTAATGATTGTTATTTGGTCTGGTGGGAACTTGAGGATTTTGCTGGAGTAGGTATGATAGAGCCAGGCAGTCTGACTCAGTTCAGGTAGCCATCTTGGCAGGAAGTCAGGGAATATTACTGAGCAGTAATAAATGACAAATATGAGAAATTCAAAGAAATAAAGAGTTTTGTATGAACTCGTGCAGAGTATGATATGAGCAGAATGAAAAGAATAATATATAGAATAACTAAAACAATGTAGCTGAGTTCACTAGATGGAAATAAAATTTCTTTATAAAAAATTATTTTTTAAAAATTTTAAATAAATTTACTCATTTAAAAATTTTTTTTGAGTTCCACATTCTCTCTCTTTTGTTCCTCCCCCATTGAGAAGGCAAGCAATATGATATTAATTATACGTCTGAAGTCATGCAGAATATATCGAAAAAAGAAAGTGAAAGATCAGTAAGTCTCAAAGAACAGATGAGATCACTTCCTTACATCGGTGGTCACCAGCTCAGGTGTTTTGGCTTCTTTTTCTTTGTTCTTTTTCTTTGTATTATTATAGGTAATAATATATATAACATAATAATAAAAGACACCAATGTTTTTTTTTAACTTTATTAATTTATTTTGGTTTATCAACGATCACTTCCATAAGCTTTTGAGTTTTAAATTTTTCTCCCCCTCCCTACCTTCCCAAGAAGGTGTGCAATCTGATATAGGCTCTACATATACATTCCTATTAAACATATTTTCACATTAGTCATGTTGTAAGGAAGAAGACACCAATCTTTTTTTAAAGACACCTCTTTAAAGAATGTTTTTAGAAATAATGACAAATCTGTACTATTTTCCATCTCCTTCCAGTTATATCTCTTTTTTGCTTGAGTCTCAGGGGAAAAGTCTTGATTTCAACTCTGCAATCTTTCTACTTCTGTGAAGTAATATTCCCTGTGATCTTCCTTCATTACCCTCCATAATGTTACACATATCTCTTGGTATCCTAAACCAGAGTTGCCTTTGGCTGTTGTATCTTTCAGTTTGGCAAAGAAATTGAATGTTTGTTGGCTGGAGCAATCAGTTTCTTGTCTGTTTGAAGCTCTTTGGTGTGCTTTCTGCTTCATGTCTGTAAACTGCTGTAGGAAATGGTGATAATTTAAGTTAATTTCAACAGCTTGTTTGCATAGGTCAGGTTGAAGTTTTTTTCTTCCCTATTTTGGCATACTTTAGATTTAGAAGTGACTCTGCTGTCAGTTACAAATAGTTTCCATTCTAAGGTATAATCAGTTTTTTTTTTTTGTGTTGTTTGATGGTCACCATGTATCTTGCAACTCTTCTTAAAGAGATTTTTATGATATATAGACATAGGGTTTATATATAGACTACAAGCCTTTGTCCTTTTTTGTTTCTTAAACTTAAATATTATTTTTGAAACATTTTCGCTGGCTTCTTATGTGCTTACATTTGTATTGAAGTTACTGAGTATTGAGTGAATGTTGATAAAATTTAAAAAAAATTTTATTATTTTTTTTAATATTCCCATAATTTTCCCTAGTGTCCTTACGTCCCTTCACCCCACCATCCCATGTAACAAATAGTATTATTTAAGGACTTAAAAAGAAGAGGAAAAAAAAATCAGTATAACTGATCAATACATTGAAAAAGTGTGAAAATGAGTGCAATAAAATATACTTGTGGACCTGGTCCTCTGTGCATAGATG